CAAGTAAGTTGGAAGACCAATTAAGAATGTAGTTCGTGATAACAGCATCGTGCATGCCATCACTTTCAACCTTAAGGCTCGCAAGAGAGTAGCTTAGCTGTCAAAACATATGCGCGCTTCTGCATATAGTTATTGGCGTGCTCGTTGGCTAATTGATCGGAACGGGCGACCTCATCCTGTGTGGAATCTGGGCCCTGGATAGCCGGCAGGATGGAAAGTCGTCGCCGGCCCACGGCCCGACTGTGGCATACGCTATACACCTTACGCAGCATGCCCAGAGCGGACCGGGGTGAAAGCGGCATACGGACAGCGCACTTCTGGTACCGCCCGAGTACGTGAAGGTGCCACGGCCACTTGTACCGTTCTACTATATCAAACTTTTTATTACAATTATTTGTCTTTCAGCCATTAAATATGCTGTATTTTTGTGATTTTCACGTAAGGTGTTTTAGGCAGCACTAACAAGTTCACTCTTATCTACAAATTCAAAAGTAAAAATATGAGTCGCCATTTGCAATTACAAACGAAGAAATCTTCCAAAAATAATTTCGAATTACAGGGTACAGTTACAAAACATGCTTTTTATATCAACAGCACAGTTTATTATTTAGCCTGAAGATAGGGATGCTAGCGATCAGTACCTATATACTTTGAATTTGACCAACATTTTCACTTTGGTCCCCACTCTCGAGCGGAGATGGGTGCACTCGGCCCAAGTCAACAGCTAACAGTCATCGGTCTGACAACTGGCATATTCAGGTCAGTGGTCACATCCAAACTACTGCAGTCGCTGGAGCTTTTATCTTGAGACTAATACATAGTACAAACAGGCCCATAGAAGTTACAGTTTGCACGTTACTTTGGACTGCTGATCCGTTCTCGGATTAACGCATTTGATTACTGGGATAGTCTCTCAGTACTCCAGCAGTATTTGCTGTGGCGTTTACTGTCGGCTGAACACAGGAAGCGATCGTCATTCGCTCCGGGAGCCAGCACAAGGTGATTCGGTACCTGCGCCGGCTGGAAAACGGAGCCGAGCCGCGCCAGCGCCGACTGCCGACCCACAGCTGTCGTCTGTCGCCGCACCTGAGCGGGAGATTCCGCGAGACTGAAGACCAATTCAGACGGGAATGGCTGCGGTTTCCTCTTCCGGTGACGGCAGGGAGAAATGTCTCACTGGGGCGGAAAATTGAGCACTGAGATAAAGACACAGGACATTCGCTCACACTGAAACGATGCTCTGCATCCAGACTGTTAGAAGATATGCGTAATGGTGTTTTATGATCGCAGGTAGAATTCTTATCAAATTCTGAATTCTACGAGAAAAAAGAATCTTAGTTTATGTGTCATAGATCAGCCAAGCGTCACAATCATACTCTTATTTATCATTTTTCACTTCATTCGTCATCAAAGGGAAGCCGCGAAAAACGACCCTCCGGACAGCAGTGGTCGGGATTGGACCCCCGGGCCCTGCTGGGTTAAAGCTAACTGATCGGTAAACGAGACTATATAAGCCGTTTTTACGACGGCCATCTGGTACACATTTGGTGCACATCTGGTACAGATTAGGTGCAGATTTGGTCAAATCAGGTTCAGTGTGTCTCTTAGCAGCTATCGGCTAGGGTTGCACTAATTGCTTATATGCCTGCTTTGTCGTATTATCAGAGAGCATCATCGATTAAAACACTGAAATAAAATCATAAAATGAAGATATTTGCTGTAAAAGGGATTAGGTGCAGTTTTGGTCAAAGCAGGTGCATTCGCCGGATAGACCGTCGTGAAAACGGCTATAGACGACGTAAGTGGTCGAACGCAAGACCACCCAACAAATGCTCCTTATCGACTGAATGTGCATGTTTATTTTTCGTAAAAACGGTTCTTGTTTATTCTTTTTGTGCTCGAGTCAGGGATTCTGCGAAAAAAAAAATGTCAAACTAAAGCACTTGTAACCAGTTTGTCCTTTCGCAGCCAGCGAGACCTCATGCTCTCAGTCGGACGGCAATCAGCCGTCGCGGTGCGGGCACTGTCTAAGCAGTGTGGACCAGGAGTGTAAGACCTGCTCACGGGGATTTATTCGCGCGGCTGCACCCACACGGTGCCGATCGGCGACCTTCCCACGCCCGCTCTCTGCGCTCGCCAGCGCCGCCACTCTATTTTGTCCCACAAACAGAGCCAAAACAGGGTGCCGCCGGCCGACATGGGAGCTGCAATCACCTGCACTGCACAGTGCACACGGCTTCAGTCTGTTCGTAAGTACAAACAGGGCTGTAGAGCGAAAAATTGATGTGCAAATCTATTACTTTTCTTTTCAAAGACACGAAAAAATTTCAAGTGTGCAGTTCGTCAAAGCAAACGCGTACCTATTAACCCGCGAGTTGCTGGGGGGGGGGGGCGTTAAACGCCCCCACTTTTTTCGCCGGGCCATAGCATAAAAACGGCGCGCAAATTTTGGGTACCTGTAGAGAATTGATTGAAGTTTATTGTGACAAAGTTTCAAAAAATCAGTCGGAAAATTTTTGAGATATCGAGGTTTTAGTGACGTCATGATTTCTGAGTTTTCGACCAAAAACGGCATATGTTCAAAAAATCATATAAAATCACAGAACAGACAAGCCGTAAATGCCATTAGACTGCCAATACCATGAACAATCAAATGGCTATCTTCGATTATTGATTATCGTTCCGCATTTTCCAAAATCTTGAACTGAATATCGGCAATTTCTCGTGACTACTTTACAACCATGATACATGTATTTCTTAAATTGAACTTTTTGAGCCGAACACGTACACATATGTATGATAAAATGAATGTCACCATCGTGTTTTACGCCCCAAATTACACATAAAACATGCGCCACAGGCTGCGAATATCAGTTTTGATTTTCGGGGATATGTGCCTACCCGGTTGACCTGACCTTGACCCTGACCTATGCTTGACTGACCCCTACATGGAGCTGACACTCTTGTATACTTTATATGATGGATTGTGCACCGTTTTGACAGAGTTTATGACGAGAGGCGCCCATTGCGAAGTCCTGAAGTCCATGCTAATGAAAGCCCGATTTTAGGTGCTTGACCTTACCTTGACCCGACCTGTGACCTCAAAATTCAATTTTTAAGTACTCATCTGAAGCGTCTCGTCGCGTTCTTTCGTTTGCCGCCTCGTGCCGTTTCGCTGCGCCTATTGGTTCTCGAGTTATCGGCTGGGGGCGTTTAACGCCCCCCCCCCCCCCAGCAAACGGTGGGTGGCGAAATACCCAGCAACTGCCGGGTTAAGCAAAAAAATGACTTCGTTTTTCATTGTTTTTCTGAACTTTTTTTCTGACAGCTCAGGCATTTATTATGCCAAAGTGAAGACATATAATTTGTGTCGTATATTTTGTGCCAACTACCAATCTGGCTTTGTGTCAAGTGTGAATTATTGATACTTCTATAGAGCCTTGATACAAACACACATACATACAAACATTGATATGATGGATACGTTTGTAGGGACAGAGGATGATAAGACACTTTCTAGTTGTAAGTTATTATTTTTCCAGAAGATTTTTTTAAGCTAATGTTCATCTCAAAATAAATATTGGTTCGCCATGAATTGTCTGCCGTACAGCCCAGCTTATATCCGCTCAGAAATGCTCCTGTAGCAGTCCGGAAACAGTGCTTCCTAAAGCTCATCTAAGATCCTCTCAGATTTTTTGGGGGACTTAAAGGGAGATAATGAGCTTTCTTTTTTCTTAAATAAAAATTACTCGACATCTATACTATTTCTACTGTAGTTTCTATAAAATATGAAAATTTCCTAGCACATTTTCGTATGTGAAAAAGGTTTTTATTTTTGCAAAAAAGAAGCAGTACTTGCAGTACTTGTAACACCCACCGAAATGCGTTGTCCTTCTCTATAAAAAAGTCGCAGTATATGGCGCTTATGTTTCAAACAGCGACGCTTGGGTTTTTGTTTATGTTATCGCCTTGTCGTTGCTTGGTTGTAAGGATTCTAATTTGAATTAGAGTTAATTCGGTTTAGAATTAATTAGATTCTAATTCGGGGGTACATAGTGCCTACTCTTCTTTGTTTCCAAGTATTATTTTGCGCCACAAATGAACGGCATGCGCCAGAAACGCAGCCAAATCTTGCGATTGCGACTACGAAATTCATTATTTTGGCGTCAGAGCCTGAAGCGAAAAATACAAGCATATTTATTTCAAAAAGACTTCAGGTTTGTCGAACGGTGTTATGAGAATTTTGATAACAGTACTGCATAAGTTTTTCAGTGATGCCGCAAAAGTGTTGTATCTATCTTCTTTTATTGTGCAGTCGGCGGGACCGATTCAAAATTGAGTCGTTGCTACTAAAATAGCAGCATATGGCGTCAGATGATGAACAGGAAAAATAGTTGCGTAAATTTATACATAAACCACCCCCAAACCATGAATATCTTTTGAAGGCACTATAGACGACCATTAACTAACTAGATGTGATGAAGATCAAATGTAAAGAATACGCTCATTTTACAAAATTACATGCAAGTACCAAAAAGTGATGTAAGTACTTATTCAACGGTCATTTTCAGCGCTCCCCGCTAACGTGACTTCAAGTTGAGATATTTGCGGCAAGGTACCGAATTGAGCAAAATGGTTTTAATTTACATTATAACTTGTTGTGTTTTGTCAGAAAATGGTCCTAACTCAGATTTTGTGGAAAAAGGTCATTATCTCCCTTTAAACAGCCCTAGGCCATGACTGGCCATGATGACGTCTCACGGAGCATTCGTGACCCAGTTCAGACTGCACTCCCACGTCCCCCTAATTACCAGCACCCCGCACTCGGCCCCCGTTTAGCCCAGGTGTTCCCACCCCGCCCGGCGCCGGGCGGCGGCCCGTTCCGGTGTTCCGGTCCCGGCTTGTGACGTCATCCACGGCCGGCGGTGACGTCACCGGGCCGCCGACAGCGGTGCGCCGACGCGACTCAGTCGACGCGCGCGCCGCGGCCGGGAGGGACACGCGCCGTTCGCCGGGCCCGGTCCACGCACGACGGCACGGTGACGGTGTGGCGTGACTCTGTGCCGAGAGAGGGAGCTGGGAAACGGCCGGCCGAGTGAACCAGGATCGAACGGAACGAGACGTGCAAAAAAAATTGTGGTAATCGTGAGAAAAAACGTACGAGTGCAAGTTCCGACAAGATATCAGTGAGAGAATCAAAGGTTACCGGGAGGAAATAGTGCGCGGGTCGGAAGTGAGTGAGTGCTCTCACGCCCCCCAGTGAGGAGCGGTGGGCGGTGCAGTGCTGGGTTCCGAGCGGGACCGCCGGCGATGAGTGTGCGGGAAACTCCGCGGCGGGGGTGGTCCGCGCCGGCCTCCTGGACGGCGCTTCTGCTGCTGCTGATCTGCACAGGACACCTGGCACACGGTGAGTTGGACTGGGCCGGGGACGGTGGAGGTGACACGCCATCGCACCGCTCCGGGATGTGACCAGCGGTGACCTGCTGTGGCCTGTGACACAGCGGTGACCTGCTGTGGCCTGTGACCCAGCGGTGATCTGCTGTGCCGTGTGGCCTAGCGATGACCTCCTGTGACCTGTGACCTTGCAGTGAGCCAACGGTGACCTTCTGTGGCCTGTAACATAGCAGTGAGCTGCTGTCTTGACGGCACTATATACTGTTATCAACCACTAACGATTGGTCACTGTTCCTGTTGCAATATTATAATCCGTTTTGAGCTATCTAGGTGAGGCTGATTTCTTCGTCTGTTTTATTTGGAGTGATTCAGTAAATTTGTCAGTCGTTCTGGACTGGATGATGAGTGTCTCTACTCTCTACTCTATATCGAAGCCTTTGCTCGCCTGTCACAGTCAACGCGCACCAAACGCACTGTGAAAGGAGGCATTTCCAGATACTTGAACGCTCGATACTTATCATACGCAATATTTGGTGTCGTTTCTAGTTTCTACCACCGGCGCAGGTCCGGAACCTGGCCGTCGTGGCCAGTCCAGGCTTTGTGAGCTGCGGTTTTGCCGGAGCTCAATCCGCTTATTTTCACAATTCCATGAAAAGATGAAAATCTGGGATCTACAGAGTACAGAGTGAGAGCACACAGAGACCAGAGTTTCTCATGGAAGTGTTTTGTACTTCAATCCTTTGGATACATTACGATTTACGTAACTCACATAGCGATGTAAATAACTGACTGAGTAATTTGCGGAAATGTAATCAACTCACCAAGTCCCGTAAATAATTTGCGTTAGAACTCTAGCAAGATGAGTGGAAGCGGGCACTCCATCATCTGCGTCTTATCCCTCGCCCGTTTTGGTGTTTTTCCAGCCGCGAACGTATAAAGGGGGGGGTCCGTTGGACCCCCCCTTGCCGTTTCGCCCCTGATCGAGCTAGAGCTCCGCGGAAAAAACGAGCGTGTTGCCCGTGACGAGAGGAAGCCGATGATACCCAATTTTAAGGTCCTAGGTCATTGTTTGACCTTGCAGGTCAGGTCAATGGCCCCAAAGGCGGGAAAATCGGGACCTGTTAGAACGTCGTAAAGTGTGGCTGCTTTGGGGTTTTTCGGGGTGCTGATCACGAATATCATGTTAGTTTTGATCACAGATGATGTCTTCATGTATTTAGGCCAGGTCGGGTAAGGTCAGGTCAGGTCAACCAGTAAGGGTATTCGTAGTAGGTGGCAACCGCCTCTGACAGCTTCGTAACATGTTACGAAGGCACCAAAACTACTTCGTAAATGTTCATATGGTTGCTAAATTCGAATTCAGCTCCAAAAACTGGCCTAGAAACATGTAAAACTCGAAAAAGTGAACCGAGGTCATCCTGACCTTCAGGTGACCTTGACACCCATTCTAATGCATGGGGGCAACACCATATCACATGTTTGAACGCTTGAAACCACGAAAAGACTGCAAACGCGCGGCTGATGCGAGCCGACATACGCCGAATCGTGATTCCAGCCAAACATGGTCTCGAAAAGTAGGTCACAGGACAAAGGTCATTTGGGTCAGGGTCATGAAATTTTCAGGGTAGGTGTGAAATTGTTGAACGCGAGGGTACTGAAAGTTTCGTCGCGATCGGCCGCTTTTTACGCGAGTTATTCGCGAAAAACCATGGGGTGGGGTCCGTTCGACTCCCCCGCCCCTATACGGGCGAGGGTTATATTTTTCCTTTGGTATGAGTATCTGTAAGAATCTTGGATATGAGGAGCGACATCAGTAGCATGGCATGATTAGTCAGTGACGACGCTGGCCGGGATTGGGAGTCTCAGACTCTCGCTTCCCGTGCTGATCTGTAGCAGCAGCACGAAGCGTGCTTCCAGCGTCACTCGTCAGAGCCCCACAGTCAGAGTCCCAGATAGAGTCCCATAGTCAGAATTTCATAGATTTATCAGAGTTATATATCTATTGAGATATTTGCCAATAAAATGCGGTTTGTGGAACCTGCTTGCTAGATAAGTGGAGGCATGGAGCCAGGGGCGGAGCTTCCTATACAGTTGGTGGGGCGGCTGCCCCACCTTAGCTTTTTGCCCCACCAATAAGCGTTTTGCCCCACCAACTTTAGCTGACTTCTAAGACTTTGTTGCTTTGCAAATTAATCTTTTTCGCATTGAAGAGCTTTGGAATGTCTGTTTAATGCAAAATATTGTATCTGGACTGTAATGATAGGAATTGACTCAGTGTGGTATTTTATTCATCTTCATAATCGGACATTGTGAGTTTGACGACCTTTTGCCCCACCAATTTCCCTGGAAAAGCTCCACCCATGCATGGAGCCTCAATGCTCCGACAGCAGTGAATTTCGGTTTGTTTGTCTTATTTTAGTCTGGTCGCCCGTTTATTGGTTTGAGGTATCAGTCAACTTGTTGTTGCTCAAGATGAATTTAAAATGTCACTTTCGTGTAAAATGAAACTCCAGCTTTGTCTTTCCCCTAGGTACGACAGATGACTATCACAGCTAACTCAAGTTCACTTGCACACAATTACTGCCAATGAAAGTGTACGTTTCACCGCCTATTGTCTCCTGTTAATCTGCAGCTGAGTTATCGCTGCCCTCAAGGCGCGCCTTCCGTGTGTTCCATCCATCTCGCCATCAGCGCCCGTCTACTCCAATCACCCGGCGCGCTCGTCCTCATTAGAGACTGCTCCGCGCAGTGCATTAGGGACCGTTTAGCCGCTGAGGGGCTGTCATTGCCGTCACCCGCCGCCAACGGGACCTCGCGTGCTCCCCGCCGCAGACGCGGCCCGGTGTTACGCTCCGCTGCGCCGTCGCAGTCTCTCGGTGACTGCACGCGGCGAATTGGCACAAGGCGCAAACACCAGCCGTTTGGACGGACGGACGGACGGCTCGAACGAAAGCGGACCATGCGCCGAGTTCAGCCAATGCGGCGCGGGCTCTGTAGCCGCTTTGTTCCCAGGACCAGACTGGAACGCGGCGGCTTTCACAAGTTGACGGCGGACTTCCCAGGAGGGCGTTCCGGTCCTCTGAAGGTCCCCTGACTCTGCCGAGGGGCGCCAGACGAGTCACCTGGGTCTCGCCTCGGCCATGTGTCGGCCGCGGTACTAAACCAGTCGGTTAACGGCGTGCTCCTTAACTGTAAGGCTATCTACACCGGAGGTGTTCCAGTCACTTTATAAACAACATTGTCGGCTGCCCAGCAGGTGACTTAGACAACAATAGCCTGCTTTCGACACCGCCGCAATGAAGCCAGCAGCTAACGCTATCAAAATATCGCATCGGAAACCAAGGATAACCACCAAGCACAGTAGCACAAACTTGTGCTCAACGGTTTTTAATTTGTACGGCATCTTGCACGTTATTTCCTGTACTCCTCTTCCGCGACAAATCAAACTATCTCGCCAAGGAAGTTGAGCTGCCAAGGTCCCACAGGGTTTCCGCGTACACCAGACGATGGACCCTCGGCGGCGCGTGGCACCGTTTGCGGCGGGCTGAAGCGACCTGTGGCCCCCGTCAGCAGCGCAGCCCACAGCCCCGTCAGCTGTGCAGCCCGCAGCGCGCGTCAGCCGGCGAGCAGCGCGCGTCTGAATACGGCTGATTTGGGTCAGGCAGGCGGACCGTTAGCGAGTTCCCGGCACGGCGGGTCGGCGGGCCGGTGCCATCTTCGAGTCACTTCTGGACGTGAACTATGGAACTGCTGCGGGCCGGAGGCTCAGTAAGCCGGGATGGGACTGGAGCGGGCTTATCTCGCAGTCACCGTCCACCAAATAGGGCTGTGTCTCCCAGAGTCCTCCCGGCGTCCTCCTGCTGGTCTCCCGGTCCTCCCGGCGTCCTCCCGCTGACTCCTAGTCCTCCCGGCGTCCTCCTGTTGGTCTCCCGGTCCTCCCGGCGTCCTCCCGCTGACTCCTAGTCCTCCCGGCGTCCTCCTGCTGGTCTCCCGGTCCTCCCGGCGTCCTCCCGCTGGTCTCCCGGTCCTCTCAGTTATAACTGTCCTCCACTGTTCCTCCACTTCACTTCCCCGTCTGATTAGGTCCGGCTCCGCGGAGAGCAGTGACCCTGTGGCCCGCCCTACCTCCGAACGGGCTCTCTGGGGGCGTGGTGGAGCGGTCCGACGAGAGCTCGGCTGCGGGGCGAGAAGGGTTAGGTAATTTGGGGCAGTCGACGAGCGGCCGGGATGGTTTATCGTCCATTGTCCGACAGCGTGTCGTGGGATCGCCGACTATGGATCTGTCGCGGCTCGAAGTACCGGCGGGGGTAATTTTCCTGGACCGGGGAGGGTGATAGGTGCGCGGGTCCGACCAGATTGCGGCGCCGGATAATGGCACAAAAAATCGGAATGTGACTGGCCGCGGAAAAAAGTGGCACCGCTGGCGATAAGCCGTACCGGACAGATAACCAGATGCACGAGTGAGGTAAATGGCAGGGCGTTATGAGCTAAATTTACCGGGCTGCCTTTATATGCCTTGGTTTCCGGAGCGCAGTGCTCGTAAGTCAAGGTGAAACAAGCTACTTTACTGTACTTGCAAGCAAACGACATAACATCTGCAGACCACGCCATAAGCAAAGTTTTAACCTATCACTTTATGAAATTTACAGCTAATAGCTCGCACATGCTGGGTTTATTTGATACAATCGTAATTAACCCGCGCACCGACGGGGGGGGGGGGCGGAGATCCGCCCCCCCCCCCTGAGGTTTTTCGCGGATAGCGGGAAGCGCCGCGAAATTTGGTATGACTATTCTCTCATCAATTATACACATGGTGTGCAAGTTTGAACCTCCTAACTTTTAAGGTCAGGTCACCAGGTCACTTTGAATGACCCAACCTCAAGTCACTTTTTTGCAACTTTGTCACCGTGCCAGAGCTACAGTAGATGTCGGAGGCCTTTGAAAGTCGCAGGATGTTATTAGGTCATTAGTATCTACAATTTGTATATCTCGGAATTTTGATGTCGGTGACCT